AATTTGATTTGAATGGTTGAATTGTTTAGTCACCGCTTAAATTAAAGAATGGTTTTGTTGATGAGTTAGTTTTAAAATACATGGGTTTATATTGTATTGAAAATATATCTAATTAATAGAATTTATTAGTGAAGAAAACTTAAATATAGAATTTTAAGGGAGAATGGGAGTTAATACCTTAATGTAAGACTTAATGAGAAGGAATTAAATGAACTGAAAAGTAATAGTTGAAATTGTATTTTCAACCCTCAAAATTAGTGATAGACTAAATTCACTAATATGGGTATTTTAGTTAAGAAAAGTTCCACACCCCCATTCATTTAATAATAGTACAAATGATTAGTGCAATTTCAACCATCTTAATAAAGTTTTATCAAAATATAAATTTACCCCTTAGATAACTCAAGTTGAAGGGGCAAATTTTGTCCAATAAAAATTCAAAAAATTTAGACCCCATTCATAATTTTATAAGTAATATAAATATAGATTTAGATTTTATAGGTAGTAGAGGTCCTCCCATCCATCATTTTAAAGTTTTAAAGATTAAAAAAATTCTTTATATTAGTTTATCCGTGCATATTTATGTATACCAATATGAATATAATATGCCTGATACCATATTTTAATGTAGACAAATGCTAATATGTGAAAATACTGTTAATTTCATATGATTCGATGATACGAAATAAATACAAGCTAGGTATAAAATCCTTACTTTCAGTCCTTTGGAAACACAAAAGATATAAAATGTAATTGCTTCAAGCCTCCATCCCTTATGCACTAACATCTATTCCAAGTTTAAATTCAAACTTAGCCATTCACCTAGATTTATGTTTATACTTTAAACGAAAATTAATTGAGTGGGCACGTGTATTTAAATGGCCCGGCCCAAATTCTCGGGCCTAACACAGTGTAAATTCTTCAAATCGGTATCCGATTACCAATAAAAAAATTGGGATGGTCTTAGATCTAAAGCCAAATTGAGACGGGCTTGAATGCAGAAGCTAATCCTTACTGGATCTGATGGGACGAATCCATATTCAACTCATTTATGCATTCCAATTTGAAGAATTTCAACTGTATCAGGCCCAAGCCCAGGACTGAGCCCATTCAAGTTGCACCCCTTGGCCTTGGTGACACGTTGGTCCACGAGCCCTAGTCAACATAAACTAGCGGGGAAGCCCTTTCGCAATGGCAAAATTTAAAAATGCCATTTAGAAATACAGTTTTTTTTTACGCTTATTTGGAGAGATACCATGGTTTTAACAAACGACTCATAAATAGAATCATTCTGGCCACCGGTTTTTGGGTGGACGGTTTGACCATTTGGTTTGAATGGATGGTCCATTTTGATAAAAAAAATAAAAAAATAATTACAAATAAAAAATGGCCAAAAACTGTTGAACGGGTCAACGGATCAACAATTCGATCGTTTGGATCAACGGGTCATTGACTGATTCAATGGTTTTTGGCCAAAGACTGGATTTGGGGTAAAACAGAACCGGTTGCCTGAACGGTTCATCGGCTGAACGGTCCAACCGTCCAAGTAACAACGGTTCAAAAACCAAGGGAGATAGAATAATAAATTAGGTTATATTTTTTAAAATAAAATAACTATAACTATATTATTATGAATAATAAACATCCACGTAGAACCAGTCTTGAACTGATTATTTAATTGGGATCAAATCATAGACCTCATTATATTGAAAACAATATTCAAAATAATACTAATTTATTTTTATGTTAACAAGTTAAACATTTTTAACTAATATTATCTTATTTATTATTTATCAAATTTACTATTTCAAACATGAAACATGATAAAAAATTATATATTTCATAAAATGTTTGGTTCCGGACCTGAATAAATTGTAGACAAGAATTCAAAATCAATCCAATAATTAATCAAGACAAAATCATAGAACCAAGACCGTTATAATTATGTTCAGTCAATTTAGCTCCACTGACCCAACCCATTGGTTCAACCTTAGTTTTTACTTAAATAAAATAAATAAATAAATAAAAGTCTATTGGGATGGGATTGGTATAGGCTGTCTCGAACTAGACCCGATCCATTTACAACACTAAATATTGGGCTCAAGGAGAGAGAATAATTTGTTAATAAATTATTTCTAAATTAATAAATAAATGTTTATTGAAATCTATCTCTTAATGTCACATCTCTTTTATTCTATCGATTAATTTTATTAAAATAAATAATTTATTTAATTGTATTAAATAAATAAATGTTGAGATAGAGAATAGGAGAAAGAGAGAGTTGAGAAAGAAGTGGAATGACATTTTATTTATAGGATGTCATAATCGTAACTAATTGTATGTGACACTGCTGTAATTTTCAAATGCATTGATTCAATTATATGCGAAGATTTGTCTTATATGTGGCATTGCTATAATTTTTGAATATTATAGAGACAATTATATAAGGAGATTTGTCTTATATGTGACATTCTTATACTTTTTCAAACAAAGAGAGGTGGGAGAAAAGAGAGAATAAAGAAAAGAAGGGAGAGAGAGAGAGAGAGAGAGAGAGACGTGTCAGAGAACAGAAAACATATAAGTGTCAACCTCATAATGCTTTCATACACCCTCCCAATGCTTTAAGTGTATAGATAGATATACGGGTAAATAGATAGGTACTTTGTACTTTGGGGTGATGATAGATAGGTCCCCTAAATTTTCAATTGCAACACTTGACTACCTTGAACTTTTAAAAATAGACATTTGGATCCATCCGTTAGTATTCTATTGGTTAAACATTATATAATACCAAAAATACCCTTCTCATGTATTTTTGAGATCATTCTCAAATAACCAAAGTTCCTCACAATCACGTTCTGACATGGATATCAAATAACATATTCAAATTTTTTGACGATAGCACGTTCTCATGTATTTTTGAGATCATTCACTATTGATGATTTTACACTACCATTATTTCAAAAATATACAAAAAAGGTATTTTTGACATTATGTAATGTTTAACTGATGGAATACTAACGAATGGATCCAAGTGTCTATCAATGTACTCAAGTGTTGCAATTAAAAGTTGAGGGTACGTGTTTGTCACCACCCCCAAATTCTGTAATTTACCCTAAATCTAAGTGTCAACCTTTAAACTGTGTCCTAATACCAAGAAAACCTTTAACCGTGTTACAGGGACTCGTTTAAAATTCAGTTGCTTGACCAACGGATTTCCTGGGCTTTTCGTTGTGAGAGGCTGACACGAGTTCTTTCTATTTTGATTACTTTCTTCTTCAATCCTTCTCCCCCCCGAGTTCTGCATTTCGTGAACGCCACCACATATCCTCACTATACGGTACCCTCTTTGGATCTCCAATTGCTATTTCTTTTCTCTCATTTAGTTTGATTTCTCGGAATGTAATGGATCCCCAAGTTTGATCTTTGTTGTCGTTCTTTTTCTTCCATTTTGTTTAGCGCCTTGAATTCATCCGTCAAAAATTTATTGAATTCAAGTTTCTGATCATATGAGTTTTTGTCGTATTGTGGTGTCAATTGTTTGTTACGTTCTCTCTGTGGTTGAATTATGATAGCTCTTTGTTATCCTGTTCAGTTTTGGCCGAGGTTATGACATATTAACAACTATTTCTCTTCATAATTTTTTCTTTTTCAATTTTTGCGGTTGCTTTCTACGTTTCGTTGTCAGTTTCTTTGCATTATCTTGCTTTGGTAATTCCTGGCTTTACGCTTTCTCTCCTTTGTTTTGTGTTTTGAGGTTTTTGACAGAGTGAAAAGATTTAGATTTGGTTGCTGCTTGTTAATGCCTGAATTGGCGTTCAGTTACGCTCATGTCATAATTCAGTTGGCCTGAACATATCACAGATTCCATAATTCCCTGTGAAAGTTGTATTGTAGAAAGACATTGGAATTGTTTCAATATTGGAGGAATTTGAACTATTGTGGTTTAAATCTAATTTTACTTGCTTTTGTCTAGTGCTTCTATATTTTGATCTGTGGTCTTTTGGAACTGGTGATCTAGCAGTGAAGTAGAGTACTTAAATATGATGGGATTCAACAATGGAAAAGAGCTAGGAAAACTGCTCTAAATCTACTTCAGAGAGTGAGGATCTGACATCCGATTCCTAGGTGGGCATTACCATGTCCACAAAATCTCCAAGGTCTCCGAGGTCCCCAACCATTCATCATCTAAAACATGGCCCCATCAATGGGAGTCCGCTGATCAAATGTGAACGCCATTCAAATTCCGGCCGGGACGGTCGTCCCAAAAAAGGTATATCCCACTATTTTCTAGCAATTGAATCATAGTGTAGAATTTCAGGACTCTAGATCTCTCTTTCTTTCTCTTCCTCACTCTATGTGTGTGTGTGTGTCCGAAATGGGTATCTTTCAAATTCTTATTTGCACATATATAAGTGAGAAATAGAGAATCAGAGATATGTGGATTAGAAAATAAGTGAGAAACAGGATGTTGAAGAAATTTTCAAAATTTGTTACAACTTCCCCTCAACTTTCTGTTTCTTTATTTTTTCCATCAAACCAAACACAGCCTAAAGAATTTTTAGTCTTATCCTAATGGGTATTTTCGAAGTTAAATTACTATATAGTTTTTTCCATCTTGTTCTTTATTTTCATTCCTTTCTTTGTGAATTTCATGGCTTTTCTTTTGAAAAATAATGTATTCTATTTCCATTCTTGGTCTTACAAAGTAGAACATCTACATAGGTGGCTCTGGTGGAAAAGGCACCTGGGGAGGGCTGCTTGATACAGGAGATGGTTTTCTTCTGGACCCAAATGATCCAAATTACGATAGCAGTGAGGTACCTAAATTAACATTTCAAATTCTCCCTTAGCTTGTCCGTTGCAAAGAGTTGAAGCCAGATTATTGAGTGGTTAATTATTTTGAGCTGTGGTGTTTTATGCTAATGATCTATATATGATGTAACTATTTATGATCTCTCAAATTAAAGGAACATTTTATTACAGGAAAATGTGAAAAAAATGACAAAAGAGTTTGATGAGTACAAAAAGAAGGTTACAGTCATAGTGGAAGAATACTTTGCAACTGATGATGTTGCCTCCACTGCAAATGAACTGAAGGAGCTTGATATGCCACACTATGACTTCTATTTTGTGAAGAAGTTGATATCTATTGCCATGGATAGGCATGACAAAGAGAAGGAAATGGCTGCTGTGCTGCTATCCACATTATATGCCGATGTGATCGATCCACAACAAGTTTACAAAGGCTTCAGCAAATTGGTTCAATCTTCAGATGACTTGGTTGTAGACATACCAGACACTGTAGATGTTCTTGCACTATTCATAGCTCGTGCTGTGGTTGATGACATACTTCCTCCTGCTTTTTTGACAAAAGAAATGGCCTCCCAATCTGAGGGATCAAAAGGGCTTGAAGTATTAAAGAGAGCACAGAAGGGTTACTTATCAGCTCCATTGCATGCAGAGATCATTGAGCGCCGGTGGGGTAGTAGCAAGAATAAGACTGTTGACGACGTAAAAGCTAAGATAAATAATCTATTGACAGAGTATATAGTGAGTGGGGATAAGATGGAAGCATGCAGGTGCATCAGAGATTTGAAGGTCCCTTTCTTCCATCATGAGATAGTCAAGAGAGCCCTTATAATGGCAATGGAGAGGCCTGCGGCTGAAGGGTGGCTTCTAGATTTATTGAAGGAAGCTGCTGAGGTAGGTGTTATTAATTCAAGTCAAATAACTAAGGGATTTAGCAGGCTAATAGATACAATTGAGGACTTAACACTTGATATCCCATCTGCAAAGGAGCTATTGCAGTCATTGATATCTAAAGCAGCATCAGAGGGATGGTTGTGTGCTTCATCTTTGACACCTCTTTCTTTACATCCAAAGAAGCAATTGGAGGATAATGCTGCCAAGGTCTTCAAGTTGCAGGCTCAATCTATTATTCAAGAATATTTCTTGACTGGTGATATTTTAGAGGTAATTAGTGGACTAGAATCAAATAACAATAATTCCTCTTCTGAATTAAATGCCATATTTGTGAAGAAGTTGGTAAGTCTTGCAATGGATCGGAAGAACAGGGAGAAAGAAATGGCATCTGTGTTGATGACATCTCTGTCTTTTCCAGCAGATGATATTGTAAATGGTTTTGTAATGTTAATTGAGTCTGCAGATGACACTGCATTGGATATACCAGTTGTTGTTGAGGATCTTGCAATGTTCTTAGCTAGAGCAGTGGTTGATGAAGTGTTATCCCCACTCAATTTGGAGGAGATTGGAAACCAGTTTGTTAGACCAGACTCAATTGGGAGCAAAGTGCTCCAAATGGCAAGGTCATTGCTACGACCTCGCCTTTCTGGAGAGCGGATCTTAAGGTGTTGGGGTGGTGGGGGAAGCAGCAAGCCTGGATGGGAAATTGAGGAAGTCAAAGACAAGATTGCGAAGCTATTAGAAGAGTATGAATCCGGTGGGGATGTTCGGGAAGCTTATTGTTGCATAAGAGAGTTAGGAATGCCATTCTTTCATCATGAGGTTGTCAAGAAGGCAATGGTGACAGTCATGGAGAAGAAGAATGACAGATTATGGGGTTTGCTGGGCAATTGTTTTTCTGCGGGACTTATCACTATGAATCAGATGACAAAAGGCTTTGGGAGAGTAGCAGAGTGTCTTGAGGACTTGGTTTTGGATGTACCAGATGCTCCACAACAATATGCTCAATATGTTGAGCGGGCTAAAGCTGCAGGTTGGTTGGATTCATCATTCCCTGTAAGCAATTCAGGGAATGAGGTGGAGAACGGTTCATTTTCATGAGGCCATGTATTTTTATAAGCTATATTCATTTGTCAATCGCATTTTCTGTCATTCCTACTATTTCCAATGTCCAGGCCAATATAATCAATGAACTACATCTTTGTTTTATAAAAGGAAAATTTGGTGGTATTCATCAATATTCCCTGTAAGCAATTCAAGCAATGAGGTGGAAAGTGGCCCATTTTGATGATGAGGCCATGTATTTTTTTTTTTTTTAAGCTATATTCATTTTCTGTCATTTCCATTATTGTCAAATGTCCAGGTCAATATAATCAACGAACTATATACATCTTTGTTTTTCAAAAGGCTCACTTTGGAAAGAGTACAAATACAAATTTGTAAAGTGCAAATGCATACAAAATAACCAAAATTTAAGGTTTTCTACTCCAAATATTTGTATTTGTACTCCTTCCAAACTAAAAAAACGGAAAATTGGTGGTGCTAATTAATTAAGTGAACAAATTACTCAAAATCTGATTGTTTTCTCCCTGAAAAAAACTTTTAACTATTTGACTCAGGAGTATTCTCATCAACACAAAGAGGAACTTTTGCATTCTTTTGGTATTTTCTTGCTTTCATGCAATATCAGTTTAGAAGGAGTACAAATACATACAAAATATTACAAAAAACAAGGTTTTACACTCTACATATTTGTATTTGTACTGCTTCCAAACTGAGCCTTAGGGATGAAGAGGAAGGTTGAAATGTTGGAATTCAGTCCACCCTAGCTAGTTTGCTTTGGATATAAGACATGCATACATGTACACAAAACATATGCACAAAATTAAAAGAAAAAAAAAATGAGGCTCATGGATGTTTGGTATGATACTTCTATCCATCATTTGGATGATTGATTTTGTGTTTCTCTATTGAATCCTAATTATGACTTATTTTGTCTATTGAATAAGCAAAGTTTTGGTATATATTTCCTTTTAAAAATAATGCTTTAAAGCTCAAAAATAGTTTCCTTCAAATTCACCTTTGTCTAGATGAGACAACCAATTTTGTCTTCAGAGTCTACATAAAAACCATGGTTTTAAACCATGAGTTATAAATATTGAGTGATAGTTTCGCTTAGAGGAATAATTTACAGAATAAAAAGTTTGTCCCCTTTGGTCATTTCAAGCAGTTCCTATGAAGGTTGCATACTTCTTTGCATTCGCTCATAGCAGATCTCTCTGAACTGAATTATGGTTGTTTAGTACTAAAGTTAAAAGAGCATTATTAAGAGTAAATGTTCGTTCTTTATCTTTTCTTGCCATTTCCCCATTTTTATGTGATAGCTGTTTTTGTTTTTAAAAAACAGAATCATACTTGTTGGCAAACACCCCCTTCAAAAGCTGAGAATCCTTAGTTAGGGGTGCAACTTGGGTAGGCTTGGGTTGGAATTTTGGTAAAATTTGAATGGACCCAGCCGCGAAACTGTTAAGGGCCCACAAATAGGATCTCGTCACAAGTCGGTCAACGGGAAAAACCTATTGTTTTCCCTTGTTCCTCCATTTTCTTGAAGAACCTATCTTGGCGCCTTAATGGTGATTTGTTAAAGAGATCACCAACTCTCCTCTGCTCTTTCTTGACTAAAAACTTTGATAGTTTCATTGAATATCATCTGCTCCTTTAAATAGGATATTATAAGAAGATAAGAGTCCTACTTTTAGAAGACTTCCTAATAACCTTTATCTATACTACTGCCTAATTAATAGGAACACTGAATTTAGCTAAGATAGAAATAGATAAGATAAGAACACTGAATAGATAAGATAGAAGCAACTAAGATAGAAACAGATAAGATAAGAACACTGAATAGATAAGATATGATAAGGACACTGTATCTAGCTAGATAAGTGAGAACACTGAATCTTGCACCCATTACTGCTACTGTTTGTGGCTGTATTTCTTCCCAATAAAAGCGTCCACAACATTACTCCCCTCCCGGACTAAGAGCTTGTCCTCAAGCTCGAATTCATGATAGGTGTCTTGAAACTTAGTCAAAGGAATCCAAGATAGGTGGAATGATTTTGCTCTCCTGGGTCGGGTTCCCATGAAGAGGGTTCATCCTCATCCTCTTCTTGTTCCACCAGGAGGCAGAAAAGTCTCTTGCGCTTGTGCCCTGCTGAATAAAGTTCATCACAATTATAACACTGTCCCCTTGCCCTGCGTTCCGCCATCTTAGCCTTAGACAAGCACTTAATAGGGGGTGCAACAATGTTGCTTCCCACATTGGATGCCGATCTAGAATTGTTGTTCGTCTGTGGTTTCTGTTCTTGGCTGGCTGCTGAAGATGGAGCCATTCCGAGTGGTTTCGGGGATGCCCATGCTGTTGGAGGCCACCCTATACTAAAAGTTTCACGACTGAGTTGCAGTTTGCGTTCAAAAGCATGAGCCAAATTCATAGCAGTAACCAGGTTGGGGGGATTTTGCATCTCCACATCCATCCTCAAAGTTTCTGCTAACCCTATGGTGAACATGTCAACCTGCTGGTCTGGTCGTACCGATGATGCTCTTGCAAGGAGGGTCTGAAATTGACGCTGATATTCAGCCACCGTTCCCGTCTGCTTGAGGTTGATTAGCTCGCCTAATGGATTGCTTGTTAATGGGGGCCCAAACCTGAGAAGGCAGTAGGATTTGAATTGGGTCCAACTGAGCTCGGGTTCCTCCTGCTCCAATCTATAAAACCAGAGTTGCGCCTCCTCCGTCATGTGGAATGCGGCTAAGCTTACCTTGTCTCTGTCCTCTATCTGTTGGTTGCGGAAGAACTGCTCACATCTGTACAACCATCTCCGAGGATCTCCAGCGCCATTATAGGAAGGGAACTCCAGCCTACTGTATTTGGGAACGATTGTGGCTCCCTGGGCCATGACCTACTGCTCACCGGACGATTCTTCCATGTCTGGTTGGCGGCCGTTTGTGGTTGCAGCCCCTTCTGGATTCATTTCCTTGTTAAAAAAATATAACTCCATCAAGCGCCTTAATTCTTGGACGTTGTCCTTGATCTCGTGCACTTCCGTGCTGTTTTCCACGAGCTTGTGCTCCAGTTCATGAACCTTAGTCGTCAACTGCTCAAGGTCACCCATGACGCCTGGTTCTGATACCAGATTGTTAAGGGCCCGCGAAGGATCTCGTCACAAGTCGGTCAACAGGGAAAACCTCTTGTTTTCCCTTGTTCCTCCATTTTCTTGAGGAACCTATCTTGGCGCCTTAATGGTGATTTGTTAAAGAGACCACCAACTCTCCTCTGCTCTTTCTTGACTGAAAACTTCGATGGTTTCATTGAATATCATCTACTCCTTTAAATAGGAGATTACAAGAAGATAAAAGTCATACTTTTAGAAGGCTTCCTAATAACCTTTATCTATACTACTGCCTAATTAATAGGAACACTGAATTTAGCTAAGATAGAAACAAATAAGATAAGAACACTGAACATATAAGATAGAACAGATAAGATAGGATAGGGACACTGTATCTAGCTAGATAAGATGAGAACACTGAATCTTGCACCCATTACTGCTGCTGTTTGCGGCTGTATTTCTTCCCAATAAAAGCATCCACAACAGAAACCCGCCGGCATCATCGATGCAGTGCAAGTAAAATCCTCAGATCGGGTATCCCGTATCCAGCTTGCATACCTATCCATAGTGGAGGTTAGTAACTGCATTCTTGAGAGATGTACTGGACCATGAACTCTAATAGATTCTTTTATGTTCTTGCATACACAAGAACAATCTGGGGTCTCTTTGGTTTTGGGCTAACGGGGACAAGACAAACTTTTAAGCCCAAATTTGGTCAAACGGCCTCTTTTAATTCTTGAAAACATCAGCAAATTTGGAAAACAAAATGACGAACACCCCCTAAATAATCTGCAAAACATGTTTAATAGTACCATACCACAAAAAGAGTTGAGATTTTATAGACACACTCGGTGAGCATACAATCAGTGTGTAGCACTTTGTCACCCAAATGTGGTCATGTCAGGTGTTGGACACCACTTGCAAAACATGTTTTATATAGCAAGAGATACAAAAGGTGCGGGCAGCAGCTAGATCTGGATTTACTGGACACTACCGGGTTCGGTCTGGCTATAAAATTTGCACCACAAGACTACTGTACACTAAAGCTGTAAATTTTTTGAAAGTGTCATTTCATGCAGTATTGATTAACAGAATAAATTTATGGAGAAGTACAATGCAGATTTCTGATTTTAAGCCCATTTTATACATCAATGTGGGCCTGTGAATTGGCGTCAATTTCAAGATGACATTCACCCCAACTGTATTTTGGGCTTAAAAATTCTGACCTGGGCTAAATCATCATTCTCCCATAAATTTATGTACAGTTTACGTTAAAAATGATGTTTTAACCATCTCTATTCTTTTAGGCTCCATTTGGTAGGAGTACAATTTGTATTTATATTCCTTCCAAATTGAGCATTACAAATTTTTGGGTTGAATACAAAATAGAAATAGGAGAAAAAAATGGAAAGGCAAAAGCATTGCCCAAATAGTTTCCTTAATATGAAAATGTCAAATCCATAACAAAGGAATTGCGGTTGCCTCATTCCCATGCCATCCATTGCGGGAGAGTGAGAAAGATAGATTTTGGGTCACATGAAACAGAACTCTTAAGCTCATAAATTTTACAAGAAAAAAACTTGTATCAGACTGAAAGAAAGTGGATTTTCTTAATTGGGTAGGGCTAGGATTTACTATAAAAAGTTGGGTTGATGATCAGGTTGCGTCTGCGTTAGGGCGAGGGTTGATGATTCAACAAATGCTATTGGAGGAAGATTGACCTTGACTTAAACCCAACCGGCCAGAGTTGTTCCTCTAATCCACAAGGTTTGATAAACCCTATCATGTGCATTGATGGTGATGCATCATCCTATCTGCCCATAACAGATCAACTGCATATAGGAAATAGTGTTGATGTGGACCGGAGGAATGACCATGTTTCCAATATGGAATGTCCTCCTTTTGATGGGCAGTTTGGATTGCCATACCATCCCCCCCAAGTATTGCAGACTCAGACTGGACCAGATGGTTGGACCGTCTGACAGGAATGTCAAAACAGATTTTAGGTTTCTGGGGCTCACAGAAATGTTGACTTGGTAAAACCTAGCACAAATAGATGTGACCTGGATCATGATTAATCGATAACATC